CAAAACATTGCCTATGTTTTTGTCGCGTTTGAATGAAATGAGCGGAGGCTGCGAAAAGATAGTGCTTGTCTCTGGATCGTTTTGAAGTAATTTAAAGTTTTTAAGAATGATGGATTTAACTGAGTGGTTGTGAGGGTGAAACGTGAGAGTGAATGGAATGCGGTCGGAATCTTCCTTTTGTGACGTTTGTAGTGCTGAATGTCGATCAATAAGTTGGGCGCGGTGGTAACCCGCTTGAACGACAGAATCAGGGTAACCACGTTTATCGAAAAACTGGAACATTGACTCTGATTTGTGGTGGAAATCAGAGTCATCACTACATAAACGACCAAGTCTTAGAAACTGAGAAAAAGGAATGGAATTCTTAACGTGAGACGGATGCGAAGACGAATACAACAAGTAATCGCTCCGACGAAGGGCTATCGCTCGAAACGTCAGCTTTTATAATCGTAACGGTGGCCAATTTACCATTTCAACTTTGTTGATATATTCAAATTATTAAGTAATGTTTAAGTATAAAAGGTAGGTTGGCACTAAAGCTTGAGCAAAGCAGTTAATAGTCCAATAAAAGGAAAAGAAAAAGAAAAAAAAAGAAGAATAAATAAATAAGATAATAAATGAATAAGTATGTACCAGTTGACTCATGAACAGTAAGACTGTATTTGGTAAACTTGACTTTGTTTTTAAACGTTTTAAGGTGAGGTGTTTAATGCTTTCATCAAGGTGATTCCAAACTTTTACAGCTGCAAAGCGAAAGTTGAATTTACCATAGTTTGTTTTGATGGTATTAATGTAATAGGTTGATTTAGAAGCATGCGAGGTATTGTATGTATGTATGGATGCTACTGTTTCGGTGAAAAACATTTTCAAAGGAAGATGGAAGAAGGTTATGGTGATAGTGGATAGTGGATGGTGATAAGGAGTGCATCGTGAGGGGTAACAAGATCAGTTAAAAAAAAAAATCACGACCGACTTACGTCACTTGAGTCTTACAGCCAATAACATCACGGCAAAACGAACCGATCATTTCACACTAACTGCAATAAGAACATTCTACTGACAACAATCATTCACTTGACTCTGATGATGACTTCCGCACAGCTTGTCGAAACGTCAGTCACTACCACCGACAACAGTCCTTCTCAGGACTACACGCACCCGGACGATCAGACTACACCTTCACATGTTACCCCCGGGTTCAAGCCATTTACTGCATTAAGATCAGTTAACTTAAGAATCTCTAATTCCTTAAAGTGAGGCTAGTACCGAAAAAGTACGTATTTCTCTCTTTTGAAGAATTATTAGAGGTCTGAGAGTGAAAATGCCTTGTTTGAGCAACTATTAATTTCAGGTGAACTGTGAAATTTATGCATATCAAAGTAATTAAAATTGACTTTGGAAGGTGTGTTAGATTCAGGGTCAAAATTAGATAAATGCGGAATATCACCAATGTTAGATATAGTCTGCAACAATAGTACTGGTAAATCTTCTAAAATAGCATTTACACTATTCTTTGAGCACAAGCAGCTTAAATCAGAATTGTAAGACAGCTTAACAAGCTCGTTATCTTCAATTGAGTGAAATGGAAAAGTTGACTGGCTGCATGTCTAGCATGGGTCCACCTAAGGCTACTGGACTTAAAGTGCTTGTAATAGTGATAATAAAAATTACATAAACTGCATTTCAATTTCCTCCCGTTACTCCTAATTAACTTATCCCAAATAGCACACGGGTATCTACCAGTATCTAATCTTAAATCAATTAGACAACTTTCTAGCACTTAGCTTAGTTAGGCAGATGCTTCAGTAGTTGATGTACTGGTTGATTCAGATGTTGATCGTCCTGGTTGCAGCTTTTCCAAATCCCCAACTGATGTGATACGTGACGCTGGGGTGTGCTCATTACGCCTCAAATAAATCACTCCATAATATGTCCAGATAAACTTATATTTCTGGTCCTTGCGAAATTTGCCAAATTTGTCGGAGACAGTTCTTGAACAACTTTCTTTTCGCTTCCATTAGACTTTCTTGAATAAAGATATTGCTCTCATCGTAGCGCCCCAGGCCGATGTCGCTAATATTATAGCTTTTTATCTTATATCTAGCTTTGTAAAAAAGATCTCGTATCCTTCTATTAGTAAATTTAACCACAACGAGAGATTTTACTACCATTTATTTACTAGCTGTTGTGCCTTTCCATCACACAACATTCCTACCCCGTGTGCTACTCGATGTAAACTATAGCTGCTGTTTATTGATGGTTACAAAAAAAATGCGATTTTTCTTGTGACCGTGTCCTTTAACAAACTGCGTTTAAGAAACCGAATTCTCCCAATCCTCCCAGTGTTTATAAGAGGCTATGTAAACGTGACAGAGTTGGCTATAATCCTCTCATATATAACAAGCACGAGTGGAATAATTTTGAGCTGACGCGCATACTTACCATATTTGTAGAGCGTGGAATATTGGCTCATGACCATGGCTAGGCCAACGAAAACTCTTGCATTGGACTGTCCAATGATCCATTTCTTAACAATATGTACTTATTGACTGAGTGGGAGGGCCGGACGGGAAAATATTTGGCTCGAAGTCAGACGTACGGACCAAGCGCTATGAGGTCCGTGTGTCATAAACGAGTATTGCTGTGGATCATTTCACTGGCCGCTTTATAGTGATATTGTGTCATTCTTTCTTTAAAAGCTTAGTTCGATATATGTCTTCACGAATACCATTTCAACAGATAATAGCTATCTCGGCAATCAAAACTACCTGTTTTCAGAAAATTGCAACCTACAATTGCAAAGTCCAGGCAATTTTTTTTCAAGAAGAAACAGAATTTACTCTCACAGTGCTCCTCTCCACGAAAGGATAATATAGAGATTTAACCTAGCCTAAAGGGGAACTACAGAAAGTTAATTCAGGCTAGCCCTTCACCTTGTTAAAAATGCTCAGCATTGGCCGTCAAAGAGGTTACTCAAGGGGATTTAGAGACCAGTCTGGGTGAGAGAGGGAAGGGGAGGGGGAAATTGAAGGGGCCTGGAGACGAAGGACAATGTTCTGTAACGTGACAAACTCCTCTGGTAAGCGGAGAAAAATAAAAAGAACGACACTTTCAACTCGAGATTAAACCTGTTCTTTTTTTTTTACTTTTCCTTCGACTATCCGGCGTCTTTTTCAGATTCCGCTGTATCTTATGCTGTAGCTGCATCAGATGTCAGTGTCTTTAAACCATGATCTTGGCAACTCTAGCCACTGAAATACGAAATTTGTCTACCATGTTTCTTTCGCTGTGAAAGTTTGATTTAAACGAAGGGAAGCTAGAACAAACTATTTCAAACTTGATGATGAAGAGAGATCTAGTAATCGACAATGAAGATACTCAAAGAAACCTAGAAAAAATCGTGCCTGTCCTACTCCGCATTACAAACTGCATGAAGAGCGGACCGCTCGTATTATCGCCCTACTTGTCTCCGCCCTCTTCTAAATTCTTTGCTTGCGCAGCTTCAAATCCACTAGCCTACATGAAGACCTCGTGTAATGCCCAATTTCACTACAATACTCAACAGACATTAATATAGTGAACCATTAGGTTTATTTTGCATGTTTCGGCCCAGCACCAGCGTACAATAATGAAGAAACACATACTCACAACCATTGCATTTTCAGTAATCGTTATCAAAGCACGCGACAAAAAGACATACCGAGAGCTTAGCAACCACTTACAAACATCATGGTTAGAACGGTGGCCAGAAAAAACCTGCTGTAAGAAACCCCGTAGGAAGAAAGAGAGAAGAAATCTGGGTAGGAACCAGGCACTACTTCCTACTAAAATAAATAAATAAATAAAATAAATAAACTTAGCAATAGCTGAGGTGTCGGCCTAGAATGATTGCCCACGTGCAATCACAAGCTTTAATACTTTAATACTCGTATCACTATACCCATAATGCCCAGGCCCTTGTCCTGTTGCTCTCGTGCCGCAGAAATATTTAATTTCCGGCTTATTCGTTGGCACTAAAACGCCAGAAATTCCATACTGTATACCTGCAGTGAGCTACACTGCAGTTCGGCACTCGAGTATGCAGTTACTGTTACTAATTTGCGCACGGTAATTGAATGTGGTAGTTGCACTAGCTATTATAGTTAAGTTAACAAAAGAAGTGCTGCCCGTAATGCAGCTGACCGCCGCGGATGTACGGTCGGACGTTAAAACCTACCAAAGTTTGGTCCTATGATAATTTTCTTTTAGTTGATGGCTTACTGTTATTTTTTACAATCATTTTGTGTGTGTGCGGCTTCGAGCCGCGAGCTCCGCTGTAAATAGTTAAAAGCAATGTGAGGGAAACCTGAGAAAGTGCTGGGGGTCACCTTCGATGGACTTGAATTCCATGCGAGAGGAATAAACAAATCCTGTTCGCTCGATGTTACAGTTTCTTCCCCCGCAGTAATGGAGCACTTCTTCACCGTTACAGGATTTATTTTCAAATGAAACTCGCTGCTCTTGATCGTAATTATTGTTTATTGAAACTACATAAAAACATACACTCCTTTCAAATGTTGCAATTCATTATATTAATTTCTTAACACGCTCAATATTATTATCATTAACAGGTGTTACAAATTTGGGCAAAAAATTTGAATTTCTACTTTTTCACAGCTAAAATACATTGCTTCTCAGGTGAGTTAGTATAGCAAACTTCTTCCATTTGCGAACTTTTCACTTGAAAACGGTTTTTTTTTTTGTACAAGCTTCCCTCGTCATGAAGAGGTGTATCTTGCGTTTTAATACAGACGTATACTTGATACGATTTGTACATAAAAATATTCATTATATAAAATATGTTTTTTCCGTAACATTTTGCATTGAAAATAGTATTTTAAAATGAATGTATGTATATATATCTGTATGTATAAATATGCGCCAAAGAGCTATACATACATACACACATACATACATACATACATACATACAAACATACATACGACCGAATTCAAAGAAGATAACGTACACAGTAAATTCAACGAATGACCATGAAACTGGTGGATATGACAATTCGTTTAAGTATTATACATTAATATTACGACTGTGGTATTATGTCATGCACAAAGGCACTATTCCGAGTGGCAACTCATGCCGAGATGTCTAAAAAGAATTGACAAAACGGTTAACCCAAGTCCATTTTTTCTGACTCCTGTACTTCTTAAAAAGAAGTTGCCGTTTACGAGCCCAAAAGTTGAGAGTGAGTATTTTTGTGTTCCTGAAACAAAGTGAAGTCGGTGGTACAGCACCGCTGGCTGACCCTTCATATACTTTGCCAGGTTTATATCAGTCTGCTATTTTTGAGGAAGTGTATAAGTACGGTGTAAACAAACCGATATTGACCGAAGTTTGCCACTAACAGCATCCTTTGGCTTCGGAGATGGATAAGTGATTTGAGAATGTTCACTCGCTGCAAGAAAAGAAGCAAACATAGTATGATATAGGCAGGGCTTATACTTTATGAGTTTTCGACCATTGGCCATTGATGCAAGTTCATTAGCAGTTAAAAACTAACATTCCGACAACCAAGTCGTTCGACATGGCAAGCTTTGACAAGATGTTCCTGACTGCTCGCACCAATTATTATCCACATCCGAAAAACAAGGCAGACAGTGCTTGTTTTAACCTTGAATGGTTTAATACCGGTCCTGTTCTAAAAGATGCCTGCACTGGGTGGGGTGGGGGGGGGTTAAACTTTAGCAAAATATGAAAAAAGATAAGGTGTCCCAGTCTTCTCGACAAGCACTGTTCTCCTATCAGCTCCATATCTACTTTATGGTTTAGTTTCTGATTCAAATTCACGTCCACTTATGACCTCGTTTGTGTTTTTATGAAAGCAAAATAAACCTGCTGATGATGCAATAATAAGACCAGAAACAGGTGTACTAACCTGATTACTCTGTAAGCAGCCAATCATAAGGTCGGTAAGTATAATGACCCCAGTTCTCCCAACACCGGCCGCACAATGAACTAACACTGGTTGGACTTCCTGCGCATCACCATGGTTTGAGCTGACCTGTTGCCTTGCAGACTCCAATTCGTCCAGAAATTCTGTTCAACACACACAAAATAAAGACAAACTAGTTGCAAACGAACATACAAGTGTGTGTACCAAATAATAAACAATTAATATCTGCTCCCTTGGGAAACACTTTTGTTTTCCAGAGTCTTAATGTTTCTTGTTAAAATTATATCCCGAGCGGAGGGATGTTTTTTTTTTTTAAACGAAGACCATTCTCGACATTGCCGTAAAATGTGACATTTAAGAGTGATAATCACCACAAACTCTGTAAAATCCGGGATCAATAAGGTTTATACGGAAGACCTGTCAATACTGAAATGTCAGATGGCTTACCGCCTCCGAGTAATATGTTTATCCGAGCGCCTTACTGACCAATAATTGCGCAAACCTAATGTACCCACGGTCTTAATTTCAGCCCATTTTTCATCCATCAGTAAACTTTGCTGCTCTAAGATCTCAGCTGTCAGTTAAATACGCGGGGTTTCACAGCAGACTGTTAGAATTTTGACCAATTCTCAGCTATTAGTTGAGCCTCACGCAAGAACTGAACATGCAAAAGCCTTAAGCGCTGGTCAGCGGACTTATTGCGAAGTTAACAGGAATAAAAGGGAGGGATGACAGAGTTATGGAGTGATGGATACAATGAGTGAAACTTTGGTCAAAACCACAACTATGAAATAGCTTCAGACAATTTTCAAATTAAAGGCTACATCGAATTCGTGCATCACCCAATGTGAGGGAAGAAACGATCCCGACATCTAAACAGCCTCCTCTTAAATCGGAAAATTGAATGTCACTTTAGTCTCCACTTTGAGAAGTCATGGTTTAGGTAAACAGATTTACCATCACTATTTAACAAAACGTTTGGGGATATCTGTATGACCTGTATCTGTATGACCTGTATCTGTATGACCTCTATCTGCATGACCTGTATCTGCATGACCTGTATCTGTATCACCTGTATCTGTACCACCTGTATCTGTATGACCTGTATCTGCATGACATGTATCTGCATGACCTGTATCTGCATGACCTGTATCTGTATGACCTGTATCTGCATGACCTGTATCTGCATGACCTGTATCTGTATGACCTGTATCTGTATGACCTGTATTAGTGGTAGGCCAGATTTGCGTCGCTCTCTCGCGTCCTATTCTTCATTGAGGAGGATTGCAAACTCATTTCCTGACCAGTGGTCGGTCGTCAATTCTACAGTAGTGGCAAGAAGAGAAAAGCCATTTCCTTGACGTTTTTGTATGCGAGAGGAGTGTACTTACCAAGAAAATGTTTTGGATCTTGTGGTACTCCATGATCAGGCCAATCAGTAAAGTGCAAATGACAAATCATTCTCTTTTCCTTTGAAGAAGCCATATGTAGGGACAGTTTGCGCACCTTAAATGACAGTGTATTTCGGGTAGAAACTGTTTCCACTTCAAAAGAATGAAATGTCTTTGTGCTCCCATACAAGTCCTCAGGCCAGTAAGGATAGCAAGTACTCTTGCTGCTAACCTGGAGAGAGAAACTGAACTCATTCAGACCACTACAGCGTTGTAATGGAACTAGATGAATATTTCAGTTATGGTATACCCATACTCCAACTGTAATCTCATAACATTAACTAGGTGGTTATTTCAGAATATAAGCCATTTGGTAGATATGCTAAAAAGAAGTAAGGTCGTTACGGGAAAATCTCAAACTGAGGCATTGCTCGAGCGATAGCGAGGATGCAGATAACCTTAGGAAACATCTTATCAATCAAAGAGATTGTTCACAACTCTCGTATATCTCAGAAAACAATTCACGCTTCACATGCATTCATTCCTTCATGGTGAAGATTTCCCTTTTAATTAATACGCGACGTCAAGAATTATTTTTTGCCCCTTTCACGTGCCATGAATAAATCCTTTGCTAACTCTTTTTCTGGGTTGTTTGCTCTTATCAGGAATCCCGGAAGAGGCTGAGCATCAGGTCACTGACCATAAACAGGGTAACGCTGCAGAGCACTGAAGTCAACAGATAGAATATGTGCCCTACCTTGTCGTCTGTTGCAGCCACTATAATTGTAATATTCTGCTCCCACACCATCTGCCAGAAATCAGCCGCTGTGTTCTCCATGGGGCCCTGGGCAGCAATGTAACGGTAGGTCCTAGTCCCCACGTCCTCCTGTAATGAGATCACGACACGAACAGACAGATTTGTTAATTATGACTAAAACCACGCACAAGGTGGCAAGTAGTAAATGAATGTGAGGTCGCTCTATCGAACAAAGTGCGCTGAACGAGAATCAAGACATTACTACCATTACCTCGTGCGAAATTCGTTCATCTGAACTAAAATGACGTTGTTACAGAGCGCACTGCGGCCTCACTGGCCTTCACAGTTTGAGATTACATCCTAGTTCAACTCATAAGCTAATGCTGCTGCTTTTGCTGCTCTATATTCTCACCTTGATATGGTCTGCATTGATGTAATCGCTGCCACTTGAATTGTTCCGAGGATTTAAACGGACTCGAGATTCCTTTGAGATAAAACAAAAACAATCGATTTAGCACAAAATAACAGGAGAGTTCAAGCTGGAAAACGCCAGCACCCTCTATGCTCGGAGAAACTGCCACCATCAACCCTTTGACGTTCTGAACATTCTTCTTCTTACCTCGTAGGGAACGACGTCTTTATATCTGTTTTTGTCTGCATTCCCATCGCACTGGGCACTGGCAGATGTTAGCTTCTGTAAGATTAAGGCTTTTTCATTATATTTGACAACGAGCATTAACATACACAGTAAAGGCCACAACAAAGAGTACATCTTTCATTTTATGATTTCAAATAAGGTTTACGATGAAAGTGATAGAGAGGCGATCCTAACCCAAATTATGATGGGGTCACTGTCGACTGAAATGGACTCAACCAAACCCAAACAGACTAAGGGTTATAAATTACCACGTTGGGACTCACTCAGAATCTGCGCTAGGTATACACTTGAAAATGAGTGAAACTAGGCGATTGCTGATCACGCTCAAATTCTGGAGAAAAAGTACAGATATTGCTTCACCTATTTGTGAGGAGAGAAAGGTTGGTCCTTGTATTAGCGGGACAGTTGTATTTATAACCTTAAAAGTGATGCTTACAATAGATTAGTGAGGCCACTCTAAACAGGCAACAACTGATCAAATACAGATGGCATCATTCAGTTGATAGTGATTCTTACCTCGCTTCTCCGCTCGACCTTTTGGAATTCTGTAAATACTTGTCCTTCGTTGAAGATTTTTTCTAATTCCTCCAGCTGCAATTAAATTAAACAATTCTATGACATCATAGATATCATATTCAATTTCAATTTTCCATACCCTGAGTTTATTATGATGTGATACACTAAGCCTTACGTTGTGATACTAAACAGAACCACGTAAATAGCGTACTTAATCGCAACTATACCTGTGTTTCCCGCGAAAAAGGTAATTCAACGTCACATTCATACTCGATGTCCCTGCCCTCGTCTAAGTCTGAGTCATTTGATGTACTGTATCCACTGGTTCGGCCAGTCACTTCACTTGCGTTATCTGCCAGTAACTGTTCCAAACTAAGGGACACTGGACGGGCTGGTCTGAAATATAACACACTAGCTTACAAAAAACACAAGTCAGACAATTTACACATCAATGCTTGCATTGTCTGATCATTGATAAATTAATCACTGAATAGATTTGATTTCATAAAAAAGAAAAAAAAGATTAGGTGAAAATCACACGATAAAGTTTCATCCAACAGATTCCTGAGACATTAGGCCCTTCTACAATTTCTTAGAATGTTCAATTAACAGGGGATGATACATAATGATGACTTGTGGGCTAAAACATTTATTTCATGTGTGTACAACTGTTGCGACCACAACATCAAATTCACAGACATTTATTAAATCGAAAAAAATTAAAATGACTCTCATACACCAGAAAATGTAAGAAACAAAATCAAGACACGTATGATGCACGATCCTCGCAGTAGAGAGCGCTATTTATGCAATAGCGAAAATCAAACCTGAGAAAATTAATCAGGCCTGTACGGGATTCGAACCACTGACCTCTGCGATACTAGTGCAGCGCTCTACCAATTGAGCTAACAAGCCAACTGGGAGCAGGCCGTTAGGTTGATTCGTAATAAACCCATGATGATAAATCAGATACGATGAATATATAAAGTTCATATATTTTGAACTGCGGTTATAGATACGTATGATGCACGATCCTCGCAGTAGAGAGCGCTATTTATGCAATAGCGAAAATCAGACCTGAAAAAAATCAGGCCTGTACGGGA